TCTCCCCACACAATTCTGTAGTTTCCTGTCTCCCCACACAATTCTGTTGTTTCTTGTCCCCTCACAAATTCTGTAGTTTCCTGTCTCCTCACACAATTCTGTACGTTCTCCCCACACAATTCTGTAGTTTCCTGTCTCCTCACAAATTCTGTAGTTTCCTGTCTCCTCACAAATTCTGTAGTTTCCTGTCTCCTCACACAATTCTTTTGTTTCTTCCCACACAATTCTTTTGTTTCTTCCCACACAATTCTGTAGTTTCCTACCGTCTCAAACTTTTTCTGTGACATTTCCTGCCTGCCTACACAAATCACTCTACTACACACCAATCAGTCAATTTCACGCACAATGGTCCATTTCAGTTGATGTGTAATAAGTTGAATACAATCAATTCAGGGCGTGGGGGGGGGGGGGGGGCGGACACGGGTAAAAGTAAATATTTACTATAACAATTCAATCTCGTTCGAGAAAGGGTGCAGTAGACGTGTTTAGGGGTAGACCGTACCACCGCCTACACCCCCCTCCCAACCACGTAAGAGATGCCTGAAAGAAGCACCGTGTTTGGTACAGGGGAAGATAAAGAAAAATGTGTTATACAAGAATGCGTATAACAATAATACAGGGGGGGGGATAATTAAAACCGGATTAGCCCCAGCTTTAGCGAGATTAGAATTAACACTACGGATTAGTATTGAACGGCTGAAGGTGCTGGGTTATTGTGTGAGAGACGGTGTGAGGGGGGGGGGGTCTGGAGGGGGTCGAGGTCGGGATAAGAAAAAAATACGATTTGAAGTAATCACCGGGTGAAATGAGAGGTGGGGCGTAAGACCGAAGTCTTGTATTCAGAAAACATTGAGTTATGTGTATTGTACGCTTGTATGAAATGAGAGGTGGGGCGTAAGGCTTAGGTCTTGTATTAAGATTAAGTTATGTGTCTTGTGTGAATTGCGAGGTGAGACGTAAGGCTGAGGTCTGGTGTTCAGAAAGCGTTGCGTTCTGTGTCTTGTGAGACGTGATGTGCGACCAGGGTCTGGGTAAAAACAAACCAAGCGTAACCGGCTAGGCAACTGTAACCTGATACGTCATCTCCCCCCCCTCCCTACACACCCACCACTCCCTTGAAAAAGGTTTCTAACACAATATTTGATTTGCCAGTTCGGTCAATATTGAAAACCAGCCTAAACCTAGAACCCTAGGTCTTAAGTGTGGTTTTTTTCATACTTGTAGAGACAAGTTTTTTTTTTTTATGTTGACTCTGCTAAATCTTACTCGGTTTTTAGCGATCTTTACAAGAAAGCAATATTGACATTACCTGTCAATAGATTTACGGGTGCATTGACTGCATATGTCAAGGGTTTTTTTTTTCAATACAGGAACACTCTACTTCTGTTTGACCTTAGAAATGCCAGACGTCACATGATTGCTGCTAACTCTTTAGCGCTCCGGGTTGCCATCCAGGTTTGGGTGTTGATCGAACTTGAGTTCACTCAGTTTTACTGGGGTACCTGTCTCGAGTTGGGGAATTTAATTAAAGGGAGCTGCATTTTTTCTTCTTCTTCGTTTTTAATTGTGATATTGAGAGAATTTAAAACTATTCGGTACAACTTGTGAACATGTTATCCGGGATGTAGTTATGTTACCCGCTGACTCCGATTTCAGCCTGCTTTTCTTTATGGGATTATCCCCATAGCCGTTGTCTAGCCAGGAACAAACTACAAGGCAGCAGTTGTTAATTTTTGAAGTTTTCTTTCCTGGGTGGGTCGCAGTCCCCATCTAACGAGCCTCATCTACCCGGGGTTCAAACTCGGGACCTCTGGAGTTAGCACTCTTACGCTCTCTCACCCGCTGTTCCTATCTTCCGTCCTAACTGATTATAAGTATAACGTGACAAGAACATGTTCCTGGATACAAGTTCAAGTCTCAGTGTATATGGAACATGTTCAAGTCCTAGTGTATGGGGGATATGTTCTAATGAAAGATTTACAAGTTTCGATGTATATAAAACATGTCGCAGTTTCAGCATTAAGAGGAACCTTCCTGTCATAGTGTATAAGGCACATGTTCCAAAATAAAAAACATGTGCCCGTCGCTTTGTATATAAAATATGTTCCGATCTTCACTAGCAATTTAACTGTGTTCTCTACGGCTCCAGATACATTCCCAGTAATATTTAACCTGTAAGCTAAAAAACCGAATTGAAATCATATACCCAACCGCTTGATTCAAAACTATAAAAAAAAACAACCTTCATATGTATGAACGAACGTCAACATAGATAGAAGGACGGTCGATGTCTAGGGTCGCCATGTACCGTGACAACACAGGTCTGAATAGGAAAAGAAATAGATATCTCAAGGAACGTCGCAATAGCCGGAATGTTGTTTTTTCACAGCCTTCTACATTGGCGTAACCCTGGGTATGCCTGTCATCCTAGCCGTTTAGGCTAGGCGTTGCTTCGGCTCTATTTCGACATGTCTAAATTTTAAACGTCATCTCAAATTACTAATTACGTTTCTAAAATAGAAGTGCATAAAGCTACGCCCAAAACACGTACAGGTGGTTTTAAAACTAACCTACACATAGCCTGCCATTCCTCGATAACAAAATTCGATACGCAAGTATGTCAGATTTTTAAAAATAATATTCTTAGGAGTCATCGATTCTTGGCCTACATGAAATATTTGAAAAAAATCAGTCCGGTGGAAGTGATAGTGATATATTTTAGGAAATCGGAAAAGTAAAATACCACTTCCAAACACTGGTAATCACTCAAAATTTTAACAAATCAAGACAATAAGATCGTATACCAATCATTCTAGATAGCAGGAATTCAGTGAATCAAAATTTATGAAAAACAAAAGTATCGCTCTATACCACCCAAAACTATTCACAAAAATATTTTTTTAAAAAGTTTTATGAAAATTTATTATTCCAACAACGTATCCAAACAACAAAGATCTTTTGGCCAAGGTGGTTGCGTTTCTCTTTTACTTAACGCCCTGTATTATATGACTACTTTAACTTTTAACTATTCAAAACCTGTTTAAAAATAACTTTGCAATGAGCTATTTAAAAGTAAACAGCCGCGAGACTCAGAGAATGCACACCTTTTCGCACTGCTGGACGCACCGTTCAAAACTGATGCAATACTAATGTTTACTAGACCGTCAAGCAAGTTGTCAGTATCAGTCTTTATTTATTTATTTATTTTCTCACTTGTTTAAAAAAAAACTTAGTCAAAGATATATAGCAAGTTATCTTTTATCTAATTGTTTATATCGTTTCTTTACTGACGCCCGAGTTAATTTATTGTTGACATGGATCAAAACGTGTTTTTGTCGATTTCAGCCGTAAGAAAAAAAAAACTAAAACCGGAAAAACATAAAATCTTTAACATTTAAAGAATCAATTAAACAGCAGCTGCAAAGGGAAAAAAATACTTTGAAAATACGTTTCAGTAAACAAATAAATTCATTTCATTGTAAAATTTTGGCAATATTTTAAGTATTTTTGTATCAAAATGTTTTTGAATTATCGCCTCAGCTACAGCTAATATTATAATTATAAAAATATTACTTCGCCTCATTTCTCCTATAGTTTTATGCTAGCATTTTGCAGAGCAAGATATTTTGGTTTATCTCTTTTCCCAATATTTTTTTTTACTTGCTATTTTTTTTTCTTTTATTGCGTTTTGTTAACGACAATACTAGAGAAGTCAAAGACGTCTAATGTTGTGTAAAGTCTGACAAAAACCAAACAATATCGTGTTCATAACCGCATACCTTTCAATAAAATGTTTACTTTTGGGGTGCTTTTTATTTCCTTCTTGATAACGTGAACTTTTTTCTCCCTTTCTCCCTTGAAAGAATTTGTTTTAACCCAATTTAGGTGAAAGGTCACTTATTGTGCCCCTACCCCCTACTACGCTGATTTTCCGCCGCCGATGTTAGTTACATATTTGCAGTGTGTATTCGTCTAAATCTTCCTAAAATTGCAATATAACACAAATTAAATGTATTTTTTATTATAACATAATTTTTTTTAAAAATCTTTGACGGGTTAGTTGAAATTACATACAACACACTGGGAAGTGTGGAAAGGCACAGGGGATTGATAAGAATGTCAGATTCTTTTTTGCTTCGGCGGGCACACGTTTCCGGGAGGTACTTGAAATTTCCGGGGGCTGGGGGGGGGGGGGGAAGGTAGGGTGAAACTTCAGAGGAATGGGATAAAGACGGTTAATAAAAGTATACATTTATTTTTAATTAATTTTTTTCTTTCTTATTTTATCCTCGGTTGGTTTACGTATTCCGCCGGTGGGGTGTTACCAACCCCCCCCCCCCCCATGAAATTCACGAAGGAAACACTAAATGACGTTATTTACATAAGACATATACAGTTTGGGGTTATAACCTTACAGACTACATGATCTTTCTGGACGAGATTGTTGGTGGTTAACCAAATGTTAAAAGCATACGTTGTGTATTAATTAGGAATAATTATGAGCATGGACCGAAGCAGAAGTGGTTTCCCCGAACGGCCGCCTGCTATGAAGAGTCAATATTAAGAAATCCATAACGAACACCCGCGATAGCGTTATGTAAGACTGGAATAATTGAATTTTTTTTTGGCAATGTTAATCTGAAAATCAACTCTGCCCCTTCCACCCTCCCCCTCCCTTACCCAATAATAACCCGCCTTCTTCCAATTCCCCCCCTCCCTACCCAATAATAACCCGCCCTCTTCCAATCCCCCCTCCCTACCCAATAATAACTCGCCCTTTTCCAATCCCCCCTCCCTTACCCAATAATAACCCGCCCTCTTCCACCCTCCTCCACCCCACCCATTTTGAAATGGCGCAGCAACGCATTCTAAAACAGAGTACGACGGGCTGGTGTCCCTTTGTTCTACGCGTGCAGTTGGTTATCGGGAATGCAGTTGGTGTGTGTGGAGAGGAGGGGGGGGGGACACGGACGGATTGTTACCCGCTATCGTTCAATTCGGCCTACTTTCTAAAATATTTATCTGGCTAACGATTGACACTAGAACGCGGTTTTAGAGATATTTTTTTTTTCTCTTTCTCTCTCGTTTTCAAGCAAGCCGTGCTTGTGTTACCGTTAGTCTCGATAGCAGAATATTGATTTAGGGTGTTTTTTTTTCACTACTTGGAAGTGAACTGCGTACATGAGATAGCAGGACTTGGTGAAACCGGCTGTGTTGTGATGGGATGTATTTTTCTCTGAGCAGAGTGTTGACCGTCAAAACGATGTCCAAGGGGTTGAGTGTCAAAGTCGGTGGGATTGTGATTGTGGTGTCTATGTTCGTGCTGGGTTTGATGTGGAATTTATCGAGACCAAAGCCGAGGGAGCTGTATAACAATCTGATTGTGGATACGGATCAGGGTAGGTGGATTGTGATTTTTTTTTGGGGGGGGGGGGGATTAGCGAATGTTGTATAGGTTGTTATAAAAAATTGGTGTTGGATGTTTTAAATGTTGAGAGAGAACTGATTGTTGAATGTTGTAAACGTCGTAGAACAGGGTGTTGAATTTTGTTAATGTTGTTATAGAAACAAAATGGTGAATGTTGTAAATGTTGATACAGAAAAGAAAGTTGAATGATTTTAATGTTGGCATAGAAAAGAGTGTTGAATGATGTAGATGTCGATAGAACGAAGAAAAATTGTTGAATGTAGTTAATGTTTATAGAGAAAAGAGAGTTGAATTTTGTACTTTTTAAAAAAAACAGAATGTTGAATACTATACATGTCTATACAACACATAATTTTGAATGATGTAAACGTCACAGCTCATGACGTTAAATGATGTAAAAGTCGATACAACAAACAAATGTTGAATGTAAATGTTGACAGGGAAAAGAAAGTTGAATATTGTAATTGTTGTTATAGAACAGAATGTTATAGAATGTTGAATGATGTAAATGTTGATGCAACGAAAAATTGTTGAATAATGTTACTATGATAAACAACAGAAAGTTGAATGCTGTACATGTTAAAGAACAGGGTGTCGAATGTTGTAGTTGCTGATACAGAACATGAACTTAAGTGATGTAAAAATGATACAGAAAGTTGAATATTGTATGAATATATATATATATATATATATATATATATATATATATATATATATATATATATATATATATATATATATATATATATATATATATATATATATATATATATATATATATATATATATATATATATATATATATTGTATGAATATGAGAAATAAAAAGTTGTAAAAACATATAATTACATATAATTTTTCAGATAAATCTATCCCATTCTACCAAAATATAATTTATTTGCTTGTGATTGAGTTTAGAAATAAATGAATGGTCTCTGTATTTTCTTCATTTTTTAAAATATTCTTTTTTAAAGTATGAATCTGTTAAGCAACTGTTCCCTTTATATTTGTATAAAAGTATAAAATTATGTTTCTATGTAAAAGATATTTGCCTTCATTTGTTTACCTTTCAAACGTGTGCCTGTATGAAACAAATGTTCCCTTCACCGATTAAAAAAAAAGAGAACATGTTCCCTTGGTAATACTGTGTCAATACAAAAACAATGTGGCTCAAAAAATTATTTTTTTACAATATTTTTCTTTGGTCACACTGTAAGTAAACGAGTAGCCTATATGGTCAAATCTTGTACCTCTATTTTAACCATTTCAAAAAGACCGATTTATTTTTTCAATCTTTCCTGATAAAAACATTTCCGATGAAAAGATAAGAATATCTAATATTCGATCTATTTAGAGATGAAAATCATTCTCTACAAATACATTTATTTAAATATTGTTATAGTCAGCACACAAGGTGAGGTAACTAGGAATAAGCCATCATTTTATCAGATAAGATTATGTGTTCACAGATATTCTTTACATATTATTGTCTTCAAGCCGATGTGGACACCATGGTTCAGATAACTGTCAATTAGAGTTAATATATCTATGTAGAAATCTGCAGATCTGAAAATTCAAAAACATTTTTTTAAAATCTTGTGCAGGGTCAGCAATTCTATTTTTACAATTATAACAAGCTGAAAAGTAGATTCTTTTTTATAAGTGTGAATAAAAAAAGTAAAATAAAAAAAAGTAAATAAAACATTTTTATTTTTTTTAATAAATTTTATAATTTTGAAATAATTGTCGATAAAATGTGCTAAAGATATTACAAAAGAGACCAATACTTTTACTGTTAAATCTATAACAGAATAATTTGTGTATGTTCTTAGTTTTTGATTGCGCATTTAAAAGCCTGTTATAATAAAGGCATTTTTTTTTAAACATGTGTATCTATAAGATATTTCACATGTGCCCGTATATATAAAAAAACTTTCAACTTCTACAGAGCAGCTTCGTTTCATCAGGACCAACAGCTTTGTGGGCAATCTCTCAAGCGTGAATGTAGAGAACCTGACGTACGAACAACTGCTCACCACGTTTCACAGCTATCCCGACAACACGCAAGTAAGTGTGTACTCAAACAAGAGACAAATCGATTGAGTATGGATCACTGCGGGATGCGCGATGTCATGCGCGGTAGCGTTTTTTTTTTATATGAATAAAAAATAATTCGCGCTTCGCTGAGTCAATAGCTTTTCAGTGTGTTGGGTTTTATTGGTTTTCTTTTCAATTTTTAATCAGGGGGGGGGGGGGTAAGGAGAAGAGGTATTTTTAAAAGAATTAATGTGAAGGGTATTTTTTTTTTTAAAAAAGGAAATTTTTTAAATAGGCCTACTGTATTATTTATATTGTACGAGCCGACCCGCAGCATATCATACGCCGCTATTTAGTTGTTTTATTTTCTGCTTTTCAGTAATACACACATACATACACACACACGCTTACACACATGTAATATGACTCATAAGGTTCAGTGGCGTAGCGAGGTCGGGTGTCACCCGGTGCGGCACTTAATGGTGTCATCTCTCAGAGGCGTAGCGACCCTTCCCGGGGACAAACTTTCAATTTTCGATTTGCACCTCTTAAAAGACTATTTAACACTCGAATTAATCACTTAATTAAGTGGAATTATCATTTTTCTCTATATATTTTGCTATTTTTTGCCTTGGTGTCACCCCCCTAAATGGTGTCAGCCGGTGCGGTCCGCACCCCCCCCCCCCCTCGCTACGCCTCTGGTAAGGTTCTAACTCTCACAAAAATAAACATAATTCTAAGGCAACTAACACGCTTTTTAAATATGTATGTATATAATTCTCTTCGTGAAGGGACCATGCAGGACACCACGTACGAACGCCGAATCGTCCCGTCCCTCGCTTTCTAGGCCTATCGCTACCAGCCCCACCCCACCAGTCTGGTGAGCTGTGGTTAACACTGATTGTTTACAATCGTAGAGCCGGGTCGAATTAGTGACGGCTATTAGGGACAGATAATTTAGTTTTTAAACGATTTGAAACTAAGGGGAGGTAATTTCAAGTTCTGCTTGATCTTTTCGTTGTCTTCTGTAAACTGTCGCCACGGGCGACTGCTTTCACTGAGTTGGCAAGGGGAGGGGGGGGGGGGGTAATCGTCCTTCACTAGCTACTGATAGTGTTTTGAAGCAAAAAAATTTCAGTCGCTGCATTGTTAGTGTTGAATTCACAAATGATAAATTACTGAAAAGTAGAAAATAAAACAACTAAATAGCGGCGTATGCTTACGGCGCGGGTCAGCTCGTATTTTTTAAAATTCCGTTATAATTAAAATCGTTGATCACAAAATGTATTTCCTTTGACTATTTTTAGACTAATAACTAAAATATTATATTTAATTTCTTTTGACTTGGGCAATTAGAATCTTGACGTTTGTTATAATTTTATTCTTTTTTTCTGTTAATTTTCTTGTTGTTGTAAATACAATCTATAAAGTTTATATGTTTAAATTATTATATGCAGCCCACAAATGGGTGAAGCCCACAAATGGTGCAACCTACTCGTGGTTCCACCCAAAAATGTTGCAGGCCACACGTGGTTCCACCCTAAAATGTTGCCGCCCACACACGGTGCCGCCCACACTTAGTGCCACCCACAAATGGTGCCGCCCACACACGGTTCCCCCCCACAAATGATGCGTCCCACAAATGGTCCCGCGTACTCGTTGTTCCGCTCACAAATGGTGACGCCCACTCGTTGTTCCGCCCACAAATAGTGCCGCCCACTCGTGGTTCCGCCCACAAATGGAGCCGCCCACTGGTGGTTCAGCCCGCAAAAGGTGCCGGCTAAAAATCGAGCTCACGGCTTGCCCTAAGACTGCGACTCTTTAAGTTTGTATTAAAACTAAAACAAAGCCTACAAGACTTTACATCTGTTTTGTTATCTCTGCCAGGTTTTATGTCAGAGAAAGATGCGGATGGGAAAGATCGGGGACGGGGGGTGGGAGATCTGTGACGACCCAGAGGTTCGCCCCGTCCCACCCTGCATCGTCTACTCCTTCGGAATCAACTACGACTTCTCTTTTGACGACGACACGGCCAAGAGCTACGGGTGTCACGTGTACTCGTTTGACCCCAGCATGGACGAAGCCCCGGATGTGTATGACAGGTAAAGTAGCCCCCCACCCCCCCCCCCCCACCCCCCCCCCCCACCCCGATCTCTAAAATATATTCAAAAAATAGACTGGAAATTATGTGCCTGTTGTAATACCCCACTCCTTCACGTTGTTTGCCATTATTTAAATTTTTTGTGTTTGTGAGGGGGGGGGGGGACACTTGACAGAATGTATATTTTTTAATTTAATTTAATTTTTTTTTTTTCTATTCCTTAGGAGGCAGGGGGTGGGTAAAAAAAATTTTGGGGGGGGGGGGGGTAAGGGCACTAAAAGAATATCTGCTAGGTTTAGGCGTGGCCTAAGCAGTAGAGCGCTAGGCTGCTAACCCGAAAGTATCGAGTTTAAATCCAGGCCCAAGTCAGTAGAACGTCCCTGAGTCCACCCAGCTCTAATGGGTACCTAACTCCTAAGTGGGGAAAGTAAATGTGGCCGGGCAAAGTGCTGACCACACCTTCATTTCATATGCCGAGGTCAAGCAACACACTAACTCTACCTTATCTGCTTAATGGATCGCTAGGTCTTAAGAGGATTCTTCACTATTTTTTTACTAGTAAAAACAAAAAAAAAAACCTGTATCCTCAAGAATGAAGTATCAATATCGGTGACATAAACGAGACATGCCGATTGTAGTGTCTGATAGATGTATAGACAAGCTCACGATATGTAATGACCAGTGTTTCTTCCAGAATTTTTTTTTCTCCGGGAGGGGGGGGGGGGGGATAACTTTATATTTTCGGAGTAAATTTTCCGGCCGACGAGGTGCCTGGAAGAATCTCTGGTAATGACGGAATCAATTTGTGTTCATCAGGGGCGGAACTACAGTGCCGCCAGATCCAGCAATGCGGAGGGGGGGGGGGGCGTTTAGGGGCCCACAGCCGACCAAAATCAATTTTTTTATAGTTAAAAAATAATTTTCTTGTAAAAAAACAACAGATCTACTACATTAGTGATGTTTACAGTAGCTAACACACGCTGTTTCGTAAAGGAAAAAAGTATATAGGCTACATAAGTTGTAGTGTGAAAGATAGGCGAACGTTCAAACCACTTCCATTTCCATTTTTTAAATAGTCAAATATGTGTGTTCTTAAGAAACTTAAAATAGATTCGCACTCAACAAATTAAAAAGCAATTACTTCTCTTAATTATTATTTAAAAAAAATACAAAATAAAGAATGACATAGTTTAAAAATGAAATGTATTAAAAACTAATAATATAAATACAAAAAAACTTTGAAAATAAACATAAGGCGAGAAACCATTACACATACAAATCTGTCATGCTTCATATTCTTTTGACCGACTTGCAATTAATCAAACATAATGTCAGACATTAAAACAGAGAATTTCAATACAGACTTATGGCACTCACACAAATGATGTGTTGTTGTATCATGTTTTAATTAAAAATAAAAACTAAGAATTTTTTATTTTTTCAAATTTCGAACAAGCCCGTATTGAGTGTTCTATGTTCGTATTTTCGTATTTTGTTTATATATATATATATATATATATATATATATATATATATATATATATATATATATATATATATATATATATATATATATATATATATATATATATATATATAATTTTTTTGCGGGATGGTCCAATTTTTCTTATTCCGCCACTGGTGTTCACCCCCCAACAGGTCTAGTCACGTCCACTTCTACAAGATCGGCATCGACGGGCAGACGTACACGAACCAGAACAAGTGGAAGCTGCGCACCCTCGCGGATATCCGCCGGATGCTGGGACACGAGAACAAGGTCATCGACGTCATCAAGATGGACGTCGAGAGCTCCGAGTGGCCGGCCATACCGGACATGACGTCATCGGGGGCCATGCGCGACGTCCGGCAGTTTCTGGTGGAGTACCACATTGTGAACATCACCCAGGAGTCTTTGGTGACGAAGGTCAAGGCCATGCAGAGTATAGAGAAGGCCGGGTTTAAGATTTTTTACACGCATAAGAATGAGTACAATAGGATTCTAGTCAAAGGGTTCCCAGCCGAGAGAACACAATGTTATGAAGTGCATTATATTCGCAGATAGTGTTTTTTTTTTAATTTTTATTTAATTTAAATATTTAATTTGTGGCATTTTTTTTAATGAACGAAGGGAAGTAATCAGAATAATTCTTGTTTGTTTTCTAAAATCGTTGGATTCTGGCTGGAGTTATCTACTATGTTTTTTATCTTAATTAAGTAAATTGAGAATTAAACAGACAAGTCGCATATAATAATGAGCAAGATCTTACAAGGGAAGCTACTCTGTTGGTCGAGACAAAAATTATGTAATACTTTTATAAAAATCATGAGATATTGCCTGAGCTTAATTGGGCGCTTTGTAAGGGCTCAACCAAAGGCTGTTTTCTGTGTGTGTTTTTGTATGCTATAGTGTAGCTTAAGAAACGCAAAGGGAAATAACTAGCAGTATGTAGATTTCTATTTTTATATTATTTTTAACAAAATCTGCCTTCTTGTTTTTCTAATTTTTTTTTTTACAAAAACTAAATTTTATAATTCTTTCCGTGACATTTAGCTGATTTTTAACCTCTTGAATCACCTTTGGTTTATAACTATACTATTAGTGTACAGTTAAAAACTAGTTTTTAACGTGAGCAATGTTTTAATTTAAAAAAAAAAACCCTCATTTCACAATTGTAACAAGAAAGCCATTTTGGTACGAAACTGCTTATAATCCCCATCGTTTTTTTTCCTTTCTTTTGTTTTTCTTTTTTCCTTTTTTTCCCTCTTTTTTTTAAAAAAAGGAAAAAAAAAGTAATCCCCATCTTTTTGTTTGTTGTTATACCACAGCTCAATCAGACTTAAATGTGAAATACTCTATTCTCTAATCGACTCTATTTTTTAAAATACTTACCATCATGGTAATACTTCAAGATAAAATACTCTGTTTCGCGTTTTGTTTTGTTTGCCACAATGTGATTTTAAGTTTAATTAAAAAGATCCGTCCAAACATGTAATCTCATCATGTAAGCAACCATCCATCTAACCATCCGGCCAACCATGTAACCAACCATCCATCTAACCATCCGGCCAACCATGTAACCAACCATCCATCTAACCACCCGACCAACCACCTGACCAACCACCTACTCAAAGCATGCGCCCATCGGTCAACCATAAGTCCAACCATTTCAATAACCTCAAGTTAACACAGAATTTGTCATCTAACATTTACTTGTGAGTTTCAGATAATCATAAAACTTAATTTATTCTCACTACAAATTTTGTTCTAAATTTCTGTTCTAAATTTCTGTTCTAAATTTCTGTTCTAAATCTTAGTACAACATTATTGTTATTCTAAATCTAAAGTTACCTTCTTAGCAGTGGTTAGCTTTAGTCTTAGGTTTAGTCTAAATGTTATATTTGGGATTAATTTAAGATTTACACAGTATAAGGTCAGTTTTAGACCCTCGTTCACCTAGTCACAATTTCTAAACTTCTCTTCGTCGTGTTCTCTATTTCACGCTAACTTTCAAACAACTTTTAATTCCTGTCACTCTCTCATACTCTTTCTTACACTCCCTCGTTATCTCCCCATTATCTTACGAGTATTATCTTTCTATCGATAACAAAAGTAAACATAGAGTATTATCTCAATGCTTAAGGTTGGCATAGGCACGTAATAAAAATCCCTGTAAAGGGGTCGTCCATAAATGACGTCACACTCGTACGTGGGAGGGGGGGGTCAGTAATTATGTGATAAGGGGGGGGGGGGTAGAAAACGAATTTTAGCCGTTTTTTTCACGTTTTAGAAAACTGTTTTAATAAATTGTAATAGGAATTGATTAAAATAATCTATAGTGACAGAGTTCAGACAAGATTTTGGAAAAATATAGTATTTTTAATAAAAAAGAAACATTTAACTGCAATTTTGAGGGGGGTTGTAGGCTGAGGTGTGACGTCATTTTAGGGGGACGGGTGTGTCTGGAGTTTTGTGACGATGTGTGATGGAGGGGTGGTTAAAATCGTCAAAAAAGCGTGACGTCAATTATGGATGACACCCCCCCCCCCCCCCCCCCCCAAAGTTAAGAGCAGAATACAACCAAACGAGATTCGTGCCGTGGGGGATGGCGGGTTCAAATCTCGTCTGGCCGAAGACTGCTCTGGGACTTTATTACGTACCAGTGTCTACCTTCAACACTGTAATAATACTCTATGCTTACATTTGTTTATTTTCATCAAAAGTGCCTGCGTCCAAACCTCTTTTCTTTATATCCATGTCTCCAGTTTCTGAGTACAAAAATTATACGATAAATTTAGTAGTAGAGTTAAATTATTGAGCCTTGCATTCATTTTATACCATAATTCAAACATCTTATAATTCATATAATCAAGTCTGAGTCAACTCACCCGAAATTGTTCACTTACGAAGTGCTGTATATTTTACTTTCAATATGCTTGTGATTTGTTTATGTCAGGAAGATGTGTTTTCACTAATGTTCCTTTTTTTGGTAACATGGTGAGCATTGTATTATTGCCAGTAAAGATATTAAGACAGACTTACTTGGAATTTGGCTTTGTTTATTGTCTATTATGTAGACACTAGTTGTACATCACAAGGCACTGACATTTTGTCCTTACTAGGAGTCATCAAGGACTGACCAACATTAGTTTATAATTTTTAAATGTTGTGTGTTGTTATGTTGCGAGTGGATGTATAGGTGATAGTTTGAGTTTAAGCACTTTGTTTACCTAGTGCGACTAAAACATAATAACTAAATTTGTAAGGTTGTTGTATGTATGTATTACTTTTTTTATATAAACAAAATATCAATTTTAATTTTTTTAAATATCATTTTTATCAAAATATCACTTTATCAAAAAATAAAAATTTTCATTTTTATAAAATTATCCTTTAATTTTTATCAAAAATAATATTTATAAAAAACTTTCAAATTATATATAAGTCAAAACGTTAGGAGACGTTGCTCTATAATTTCAACATTTTATTTAAAAAGATAATATGTATAAGTTATTGTATAGGAACTTTATTTCTTGACTGGGTGTGAGAAGTTAAGAGGGATTCATCTATACAATGTAGTTGAACAGCTGACATCTAATTGGTTTATTTTTGGAGTTGATCGCCTGGATAGTCTATAGGTCAAGGTCGCCTGAACATTATAGGAAGGAGACAATATCCAGAATAATTATCCGAGATCTGGAGGATGATGTCTGATCAGCTTTGGGACAGCGTGGATGGGCGGTAGAGTGCTTGACTGCTAACCCGAAAGTCTCGTGATCGAATCCAGGTTCAAGTCAGTAGAACGTCTTTGCGTCCACCCAGCTCTGATGTGTACCTAACGCACGTTAGGGAAAGTAATGAAGGATGGGCCTAGTGCGCATAACACTATCCTTTCATATGCCGAGGTCACAGAAACAGGTGAACACTACTTGCCCCATTGACCGTCAGGTTTGAAAAGAGAACTTTAGTGGGACGGTATGGTTGGGTGATAGAGCGCTTTAATGCTAACCCGAATGTCTGAAGCCCTGTTCGTGGGCTTCACCCCCCTTGATCGCAACTTCAGAACAATCTCGAAACTACAGTTAGGTTAAACAAGTAACAGGGCATAAGCAGTCTTTGTTTTGTACCCTTCTCAGAAGTTGTACCTCGTTTTAACAGAGTTTCAACTAGAGTATTTCGCGGTATTTGGGGCCTTGATACATGTTTTTGGAAATAATTGTTGGTGTGTTTTTCTGCTACAATAAGAAATGCATAGATATGAATAAATCGGATAAAACACTAAGGTACCAAAAAACATAATCATGAATACAATTGTAAGTATAAATATATTTCCATAAGAACAAACACGATGATGAGAAAGTGCATTTTGTGACAGCCATAATAAATATTGCCGGAGCTAGCACTGAGCAAAGACAGACATTTTGACCTGAGAAAATTCTGTATGACCTCTGAACTTGCGTTGTAGGTCAAGGCGTCATTGCACTCTAGAAATAACAAAACAGGGGCAGGGTGTAACTGTAACCTAACTGTCGGCTCAATCCCGGAGAAACAGGAAGTGATGTGACTAAGGTTTGTGGGCGGGGCCTGTAGACTGGTATGATCATGAGAAACGATGACGTCTTTTGGTCTACGGATCAACACATCCTGTGCGGATCGATTTTTTTGGAATTCATACAAAGCCGCCGCCATATTTGATATATATTCACTTACTCCCTCAATAATCAAGGCGTTAAATTGTGTGTGGGTAAGATATACAAAGATATCGGTAACCGTCAAGGTTCGATTAGTCCTGACATCAAATACTAACCGGGGATCCAAGACCTTCTCCATCGTCTTCCCCAGCGTGTTTTGGAGCCAACACGAGTAGAGAGCCGGCAGCCGGAAAATGTCCGGCTCCGACAGACGCATCTCCGTGTTGACAACCCCGAACCTGAGCAGGTACAGCTCCTGGCACTGTCCGTCTTGTCGCAGGCTGAAGCCGGACAGGCACCGCAGGACGGTACATCCGTGGCCCAGAACAGCGTCGTTTAGACTCGCGTTGTGAATCGGGCAGACGGCTTCGGTCCACCCCCCGGGGTGGTAGCGCGGGGCGAGTAGAAAAAACTTCACCGTATGTGGACTGCTGACTCTGAACAAAACGTTAAATTCTGAATTTGTTCTCGGGTAAATATTGTGCACGTGAGTCGCTCTGTTATGACCTGCGTGGCAGAAGTGACAATACCGGTTTTTGTACATCCCTTGACTAGTCTGCACGTACGAGGTGAGCGTGAGGCATTTTCGCTGGACGTCTGGGTGGGTGAATGTCCCATGTTCTGGGCAGCTGGACACGGCATGCGGCATACACGTCTGTACATATTCCCCCTGGGTGGGGGGTATGTATACGGTCGAGTCAAAGGTCACGGGTTCGTCTGCTGGTCGGTTGCCTGCGGGAGATACGGGTAGCCAGAGCTCAGGGTTGGAACTGGTCATGTTGTTACAGCGCAGGGTCTGGAGATTTTGGAACACGAGTCTCGTCACCGTGTCAGTGACTGGACGCTGCTTCTCCACGGCCTGGAGATAGTCCAGGCTGTTGGCATGGTAACGTTTTTGGAAGGATTCATAGTGACTAGGGTCAGGGTTATCGTTGTTTGGGACATTGACGCTAGGCATATTAGCTTTATGGCTATTGACGCCAGTACTGTTAGCTGTTGGCCCATTGACGCCATGACTGTTAGCTGTTGGCCCATTGACGCCAGACCTGTTAGCTGTTGACCCATTGACGCTTGGCTTGTTAGCTGTTGGCACATTGACGCCATGACTGTTAGCTGTTGGCCCATTGACGCCAGACCTGTTAGCTGTTGGCCCATTGACGCCAGACCTGTTAGCTGTTGACCCATTGACGCCAGACCTGTTAGCTGTTGACCCATTGACGCCAGTACTGTTAGCTGTTGGCCCATTGACGCCAGTACTGTTAGCTGTTGGCCCATTGACGCCATGACTGTTAGCTGTTGGCCCATTGACGCCAGACCTGTTAGCTGTTGGCCCATTGACGCCATGACTGTTAGCTGTTGACCCATTGACGCCAGTACTGTTAGCTGTTGGCCCATTGACACCAGGCCTGTTAGCCGTTGGCCCATTGACACCAGGCCTGTTAGCTGTTGGGCCATTGACACCAGGCCTGTTAGCTGTTGGCCTACTGACACCAGGCCTGTTAGCTGTTGGCCCATTGACACCAGGCCTGTTAGCTGTTGGCCCATTGACGCCATGACTGTTATCTGTTGGCCCATTGACGCTTGGCTTGTTAGCTGTTGGCCCATTGACACCAGGCCTGTTAGCTGTTGTCCCATTGACACCTGGCATGTTAGCAGTTGGCCTACTGACACCAGGCCTGTTAGCTGTTGGCCCATTGACACCAGGCCTGTTAGCTGTTGGCCCATTGACGCCATGACTGTTATCTGTTGGCCCATTGACGCTTGGCTTGTTAGCTGTTGGCCCATTGACGCCTGGCCTGTTAGCTGTCGGCTCATTGACGCCAGGCCTGTTAGCTGTTGTCCCATTGACGCTTGGTTTGTTAGCTTTTACACCATTGAAGTCAGTACTGCTAACATTAGGGCTATTATCGTAAGGGCCGTAACCATGACGACTTGTCTGTGTAAGGCCAACCACAGCCTTACTGTCCACAGCCCTGTCTGACCCTGGACATGACGAGATGACCAGGACGCCATAGTGTGTGCACGTGACCTCCCTTAGGACCAGGTCCTTGTAGCGAGCCAGCCCCTCCAGGTAGACATGCGGGCAGTCCGTCTGGAAATGTTCGCAGCAGTTCTTGTAGACTAGACACATGGCCTGGCAGGAACAGGGTAGGTGTAGGCGTGGATCACCACAGAACCTCTGGCAGCTGAAACTAGTAGCAGCGACCTGCTGATCGACGAGCCACCTGATCAGATACACACAAATCATTGCCAAGAATACATTCATAATTTCAGTTCGTGAGAACTCGTTTCGGAGCATTGAGCATACGGACGTACTAGAAAACCTTCATTCGCAGTTTGATGCTTCGTTTCGGCGAATTGAGCATACGGACGAACTAGAAAACCTTCATTCGCAGTTTGATGCTTCTTACAGTTAGTGTTGAAATATCGGTCGTAAAATAATTTATAGCTGGGATTTTAGGTTAAAAATGGAAGAAATTAATTAGGAAAATATTACATTGTAAAATTAATCGTTAATCAACCCAATTAATGCTTAGATTTTTGTCTAATTAATTCGGCCTTGAGAGATTCACATATTTCTGAATAAAAAAAGTGTTTAATTACACGCTCATTAATTTCCGGGTGTTATTTTTTAAACGCACACCTGCTAATTACGCCTTATTAGAAATTAAAACGTATATGTATTGTTCTATGTTCCCCAAGACATTGATTTACCATTCGTCCCCTAACTTTAGCTCTTACTGGCTAATATTTACCTTTTTTTTCCCTTAACTTTAGCTCCAACTGATTAAGATTTATCTTTCCTTTATTCCCTAACTTTATCTTTCACTGATTAAGATTTATTTTTCCTTTATCCACTAATTTATCACTCAATGATTAAGATTTATCATTCCTCAGTCAACTAACATTAGCTCAAATGATTAAGATTTATCTTTCCTTTATTCACTAACTTTATCTTTCAATGATTATGATTTATCTTTCCTTTTTCTCCTTACCTGCATTCCTAGTCCCTTTTGGGTTCCCTCTTTATTTGGACCAGAGTTTCTTCCAGGCATCTCTTCGGGGGGGCGAAGCCCCCCCGAAAAATTTTTACCGCCCCCCCCCGAACGAAATGAAATTTATATAATTTATATAGAAAATATATACTTTTAACAGTGTCCGCCCCCCCGAAGAAAGTTTACCGCCCCCCCGAAGATTTCAAGTGCCCCCCCGGAGAAAAAAGTCTGGAAGAAACACTGATTTGGACCAATGTGTCGGTGGTTGCTTTAAGATAATATTACCCTAAGACTGTGCTGATGTCCAGATTGAATCTATGCTGGGATGTGTTTTCAGTGGTTTGACCAGCCGGCATGTGGCAACCAGCCCACAAGATGTGACAACCAGCCAGAGTTTCTTCCAGGCATCTCTTCCCCCCCCCCCCCCGAAAATTTTTTACCCCCCCCCCCCCCCCACCCCGAACGAAATGAAAATTATAATTTGTATAGAAAATATAAACTTTTAACAGTGTCCGCCCCCCGAAGAAAGTCTACCGCCCCCCCCCCCCCTCCCCGAAAATTTCAAGTGCCCCCCGGAGAAAAAAGTCTGGAAGAAACACTGCAACCAGCCCACAACATCTGACAACCAACCCACAACATGTGACAACCAGCCCACATGGTGTGACAACCGTTAAAATTTTAATTGTGTTTCACATATTTTACTTGAGCTCTTATTGCTTTAACAAATCATATCGATTATGTTTGCGCTTATGCGCATTGTTAGACCTCATTTTCTCCATGCGACAGAACAAAAATGTCTTCAAAAAAATTATTTTAATAGGCGTTTTATATCATGTTTGTATCATGTCTCTAATTAATGGATTTTGGATCATGTGAGATATTGGTCACTTTTTCAAAGCGTCACGTTATAATAGGCACCGAAATAGATCAATAAATAATCATCTAAAACATGTAAGCTACTGCTAAACTGAGCAAAGTGCACAGCAATAATTTAAAGCAGTAATGTATTATAGTGACTATCAATATAAGTGTCAAGTTTTAAAAAATCGGTCCAGTGGAAATGGTCGAAATTTCGCTCGTAAATTTCGTCCCATGTTATCAAAAGCAATTCGAACGAACGAGAGGTCTAGTTAAATAAATAATTTTCAACATTGGCCATCCTTGATTCCAATCAGAGATACGAATTAGCAACAATTTTATGTCAAATGTTAGCCATATCTAATAAGTATTTGATTAAGCTTGAAATAAAATTTCATTTGTTTTTATTATGAATTATTGTTTTAAATTTCTGCGCAGTGCTGGAAAACCAGGTTAGGCTTGGTGTTAACCTTGCGTAAAAATGTTTTATAAACAGTTTAAAATGTGTGAATGTGTGCTGTAACTGCTACTCGTTCTTTTTTTTTTTAAGTAAATAGAAATCGTGTGGACGTTCAATTGGTCGAAACGAATACATTATCCTCTCCTCCGCGTGGAAGTTATAAATAGATGACCCCTTAACAGCCAGGCGCTGTAGTGTAAACATGTTGATGCGCGCACCACGCACCATACGGCCATGAGTCCGTGACACCAAAGGTTATTGATCTATTTAACTTAGAGGCAGATCATTATAAATTGTATTATTGTAAAGTATATCCATGTTCGAATAATTCATCGAGTAATTGTGTTATTTTTTAAAATTATGTTTTTCTACACGTCGATTACATTATATATATATATATATATATATATATATATATATATATATATATATATATATATATATATATATATATATGTAGCCCTAATTTTTAAAATTATGTTTTATTACAAGTAGATTACATTTTATATATATATATATATATATATATATATATATATATATATATATATATATATATATATATATACATATATAGGCTCCTATATGATATAACCTAGGGTATTAAAAATAAAACTAACATTACTAACAAGCCTATATTGAATTTTGATGGTACAATTTTTCTACTTTATTTCAGTACTTTTTATATACAACATTCATTTTTTTTTTCGTTTCTTTGTACAAAGTGTTTTGTGTACGTTTTTGACAGTATTTACACTGTTGAGTATATTACACACAAACATATCAAACAGACAAAACCTAAGCACACCTCAATGGGGGGTGTGGATCAATATGTACCCTCATTCACCCGGCGAAATCAATTTACTTTTTAAGTAACGCCGGAAGGTACACCTTTACAAACACGTAATTTTTTAAATTTCAACTTTCTCATTTACTTGCTTTCGCTTAGGTTCTAAAATCTATATTTAACTTACTTCTCAATTTCAAAAACATTGGTAAATAAAGCATGGTTAGGCCTAATAAACAAGGAATTCGTTCCGCCTATTATTGTTTTTTTTAGGACGCGATCACGCACTAGTAAATATAGACACATTTTGTATTTCACGGACTGAATACACACTAATTGTTTAGGCAGAAAGTCAAGCAGGAAACCGGGTTAGTGCAAGCAGGAAATCGGGTTAGTGCAAGCAGGAAATCGGGTTAGTGTAAGAATCGTTATGACGCCGTTGAATTATTTTTAAGTTTCTCGTCTCGAAGGTAAGATATTTATTTTAACCATTAAAAATTACATGTATATAAGTATGAGACCCCTTCAAACATGGCCCCCCGTAGAAAAGATGAAGTAGGGTTTATCTGTTTCTGTGACCTCGGCATATGTAGTGATACTGCGGTCAGTTCTATGCCCAGCCACCTTTACTCTCCTTAACGTGAGTTAGGTACCAAACAAAGTTGGATAGACTCGGGTTTCGCGCTAGCTGTCGTGCGTTCTACACGTGTACAAATTCCTTGAAATATTTTCCATCAATTCCAGTTATCAAAAACTTGAATAAAGTTCGATTTTAATAAAAAAAAAATTCAATTTTGCTGTTAGCACCTAATATTAAAGACTTTGGCAATTCATTTTTTGGAACGCAACAATCAACAGTTAAGATAAAGTTGAGTGTATATGTGGTTTTGACTTTGGAATTAGAAGAATAGTGTACATAGCACTATACCCAGTCAGATTTACTCACGTTTCAATTAGGTTTACCAGAAGATGTCCTACGGTCTTGAAACTGAGAACTGAACTCGAGACCTTCAGGTTAGAGAGCGTTCTAACTTTCGTGCGGGAGGGTTTTATTCTACTTTTATAAACGTGTACGGGGTCGAGTCCTTCATTTTACTACCTGTACGATTCCCCTAGAGTTAAAATACAATAACTGACACAAGTTCTAATAAAATTACAATGTATTTACTATACACACAAACACCAATTTGTTCCTAACCCTACCTCTACTGTCATATACTATCGTAGTTCTAAAACCTATTCCAGTATATCTCCACTCGGTACTATAACAACTTCCGTCTATAACTTCTACCACTTATGTACCTAATCTACTCCTCAACTGTACCGCCCAGGACTAATCTACGATCTCCTGGTCAACTGACTTCTAACACTCGACTCTGTTCAACAGCCCGTGACTCGTGACGGGTCATCTCGCCTTTCATTGGCTAACTTTTCTATTGATTCTTACTACTAAAGTAAAGATTCCTCTTTACACATAGCGCTCCTTTGGGCAGATGAAGTAGAATTCAAATGTTTTTTTTACCTTGGCATATGAAGGGAAGGTGTGGTCAACACTTTGCCCAGCCGCCTTTAATTTCCTTAACATGAGTTAGGTACCCACCAGCACTACGTGGAATAAGCGGTGTTCTTCTGACTTGAACTCGGTTAGCAGCCAATCATTCTACCGCTTAGGCCACACCGTCAAATACTTTACCTCTGGCTCTCTACTTAAATTCAACATCTGTCCTTTCATCTATCTATTTCTAATGTTGCCTACTCTAACGTCACCACAATGTTTACCACACGTCCATGACTTACCAAAATAACAAAGTGAAAAGATTAAAATATTTCAACACGTTTCAAAACTTTTGAAATATTTCTTTTTTATTTTTAGATTTCGGAATGGCAATAGCAAGAAATTTAGAGAATGTCTTTAGGGTTATTCCAAACGTAATCAAAAGCCAACCAATTAGATGGACATCAGTGGCCAGTAGTGCCAACAAAGATGAGGTGAAACCATTTGAAGAGATCCCAGGTCCTAAAGGACTTTACAATGTGCCCTTCATCGGATCAGTCTTTCACTTCAATCCGTTCGGTGAGCATAGTGTAACACTGCAGATTTTATTTTAAAAGATTATATGCAGTTTTGACTTTTATTGCAGAGAAGAATTAGGACGGACGGCGTGGAATATTGCCAAAAGTGACGTCACTAGCTCAGGTGTATTCCGGTCACTTCCAAAAGTTTAGCAACTAAATAAATCTAGCATCAAGAATTCGGGACTGCATTATGATGGGGTCTAACCAGGGGATAGCTTGGTCATAAATTCTGATCACGGGCTCAAAAGTGTTAAAATGGTGTTTTGAAACAGCGCAGTTGGTGGCGGAGCATTGTGGTGTACTTTCCAATTTTGATTTTTCATAATCCTTTGCGACTCCTGAGGAGCCAAGGAGCCAACATCACACTACTTCACCGAATTTGGTTTTGTGTGGCTCTCTTTACTTGCAACCACAAAATACCGTCAGCCCATGCCTCTTCTTCCAGTCCTTCTAGTAATTGCAGAAATTTCTAGCCTTTTTGTGATGACGCGACGTTTAAAAACTTTAACACGACAACTTTATCTACTGATAGGATGGCCATCAGATACTAAAACCATATGCATGCTTCTATTACAGGAAACTTTACACCGCAAACGTTACATAAGCTCATTGACAGCTTACACGAAAAGTATGGGCCTGTGGTTCGAGTCCAGCTTGGAAGGAAATGTGTCTTGTTGGAGGATATAAAAGACATTGAGACGGTCTTCAGAAATGATGGCAACTATCCCATGAAACCTGGGCTGGATATTTTTACAATTGTTTATGAAAGAAATGGATTCAAAAAAGCTCTAAACCAAGTGTAATACTTGTTTTATTTTGAAGAATCTAATTAGGATTACTCAAATTTATTTAATTTAATTTTAGATATAATTCTACATGTATTCTTATTATTTTTAACAATATTTAGAAATTAAATCACTTATGTTTTATTTCGTTTTAGTATTGTATTTTAATATGTAAAAGATTTGAAATCGATAACTTGTATTTAATATGGTCGAAATTCTCGAATTGTGTGTATTGAGGCTTTTATGACCATCCAAATTAACTCAATTAAAATTAGGGATTTTGTTTTGTTTTCCTTAGTACTCGAAATCTTTTAATACTAAAATATAAAGTCTCGAACACAATAATAAAACGGTACTTCACTAGTCAATGCATATTATTTATGTTTATATTTGCGTTTAGGACACTATCCCATCCCCCTGTGCTCTCGTATTTAGTAACACAATTTTTAATTTAATCCCTGCAAACAGTCATGGAGAAGAATGGTATGCCCTTAGGACGCCGGCTAACAAAAAACTAATGAAAGCTGACTCGGCCTATCATTACCTGGTCCCACAGAACGCCGTAGCTGATGATTTTGTCAACATTTTGGCCACACAAAATTTAACACCGGAGGAAATGAAAGATCTTTTTTTTCGCTATACTTCTGAGAGTAAGTTGTTCTAAATATATAGAAAAGAGAACCTTTTTATCGAGCGGGAACACCTGAATAAAAATATTTTGATACACAATGATACACAATGATACATAATGATACACAATGATACACAATGATACACAATGATACACAATGATACACAATGATACACAATGATACACAATGATACACAATGATACTCTTAATAAACAAACAAAAATATCGAAACATCTAATAGCTATGAGGCATAGCAAATGTCTTGCCTTTTACCTTATTTACCAACGACTCCAGAATTGGAGCAGTAAGTTACATATAGAAGGTTGTAAAAACTTAACCCAAACGAGATCAGGCGGGAAAATTTAAAAACCTGTCGTTTCCGCATAAACGTTTGCCTTCCGACCTTCCTTTACCAAGAAATTGTAATCGTCAGGCGAATGACCAAAAACATTCTGTAGGTATAAAAAATTATTTAGTGTTTAACTTATACAAAATCTATATATTTAAATTATAAAGCTGTTCCTTCTTTATTCCTTTGAAAAAATATTTTTAAAATTTATAAAATTGTGAAGGTTTCAATTTGTAATTTTTGCAACCGTTAGGCTCTCTCTAATAACCAAAAGAGTAAAGCGTTTTCACACATCTTTTTTTTTTAACTGGATGATAATAGCATAGTTAAACAAAAATTATTTGACATGGTAGGTAAAATAAAATTCATGTTAGCGTTCTCCATATTCGCCCTGTTGGATCCAGTTTTCTGAAATTCTACCTTCAGGTATAGCCTTGGTGACATTTAACACTAGACTGGGGTTCCTGGATTACTCTGCAGATCAAGAAGCATCAGAGTTTCTTGAAGCCACTAAAAGATTTTTCGACATCATCGCTGCTACTCTCAGCGGAAAAAATGTCTCATATAAATGGTACAAAAGCAAGGTCTATCTTGATATGGAGAAAGCTATTTTTGCCATTCGAAAGTAAGAAAAACTTGTATATGTTGTAATTTTTGTTTTTTATAACTGATGAATATTTTTCTACATTGTTTAGAATGTTATAGGCGTGTTCTCTAAGTAAGTAGGCGGCAATTGATATACAGATTAATAATTAATTTGTTATGTTTTAAAAACCTGCATTGTTAGAAGAAATATAACATCAAGGTGGTCTATGAATACGTTTTGTTATCTAATCTTGCATTTTATAAGTTGCTGGTCAGATAGGTTAGTTTTTGTGTATATCCCTTGTAGTTTTTAACTTACATGAGAAATGTATCGACAGAATATCACAATACATAGCCCCGCTTGTGAGATCAGACTGGTTATAAATGTACTGGAAGTGTTTTGTTTTTAAATTTTTCAAAAAATATAAAAATCATCGTCTAAAATTATTATTGTTTATTTTCTTCAAAATCTAATTTATTTTTTTCTTAAGAAATTCTCAAAAACATGCTTTAAAAGCACGAGAAATAATTGAACAACAAAAGAAAGATGGAACGTTAAACCCAGAAGAACCAAACTTACTTCTATCCCTTGTATCAGAAAAAGGACTACAAGATGAAGACGTCAGTAATTTACTGGACTCACTTTATATGGCTGGTACTGACTCTGTAAGTTCACCTAAATATTATTAGAATTTGAACTTGCACCTAAAAGAGTTTAATATAAACATAATCATAACACGAATGCACAAATATAAATACTTTCACAATACCAATTATTCAGATCAGAGCCTAAATTTTTAATTGAAACTAATACATTTTATACATTATCCGTTAGCAATTTAAGTGTGATGTTTTGTTTACTATGCTTTATCAAAGATTTACAATTTACAATTAATTGTCAGTGTATTTTTAATTGTAAACAATTTGTGTCAAGCTTATAAATACTTGCTAAATATTCTTTTTACAAAATTTCTAACATCAACATACAAAAGCTCCACATAATCTTAGCGTATTCAAATTGACAAAAACCGAATGATAACAGTTATATAAAGTTCACAGCGGTCGCTTTGACTATTCTAGCTATTCTTTTATGGCTGTGATACTATATTGACGACCTTTGCAATTCTTATTGGCCTGATATTGATCATAGTTGAAGAGGAGGGAATATTTTTTGTCGTTTCTAACTGTCCACAGACAGCAAAGAACCTGCAAGTTTTCTTCTACAACTTGGCTAAAAACCCAGACAAACAGGAAATTCTTAGAAAAGAAATTCTGGAAGCTGTTGGAGAATCCGGTGTTGTGGATGTTAAAGCCCTGTCAAAGATGTCTTACTTAAAATACTGTCTTAAGGAATCTTTCAGGTAAGATTAAAAAAAAACAGTAATTAAGTAGTGATAATAAACGCTTGCTAGCTGCGTGATATAGAGGATGACAAGAAAGATGTGTTACTGCAAAGGCAGTTGTAGAATCAATCACTTGATCGAGTTTTATAGACAAAAATGAGAAGGAAGTCAGTATAAATGCACTTGCTAACCTAAGTGTTATGGTCGAAACATGGTTTGAGATCGTTGGTCGTTCCATGTTCGAATTGCATTCATGTCAAACCCTTGGGTGCGACACACTGCATGCATGTATGTTGTGGAGTGAAGGGGAGGAAGCAAAAACGCTGGTGAGAGACCGTGGGTCACACAATGCCTTCACGTCCAACCCATTCGGGGTGGGGGGTGGGGGTGGGGGGAAGGACGTAAAAACCGGACTCAAGACTATAAACCGTCCCCTCTTCAATCCAGGGGATGCGACACTCTTGGGAGGGGGTGTGGAGGAAGAGAAACCAAGCGAAAACCCACGGCTGGTAACATGGGTGAGAGAAATGCTTGGTTGCCCATCATGTTCGAATGAGCGACGTAAAGCCGGTAGTGTTTAAGAGAGTGAAATCACTTGTTAAGATCCAACAAGGTAGACTACTTACGTTACATATATTTTAAATGTGATTTGAAAATTCCACAGACTGAACTACCCAACCGTGGTGGGTGTTTCGAGAATTCTGACCAAAGATATCGTTGCTAGCGGCTACAACATTCCCGCTGGGGTAATTTTTTTTCGTAACATTTTTCTATCAGTACCAAAATTACAGTTCTTATTTTTCATGATAGTTTTTTACATATTTATCTTTAACTAAAAGATACTAATTTACTCCAAATATCATGAACTTATTATCGCGATGGCACGTTGTGGTCGAATGGTAGAGCTTACGACTGCTAACCCGAAACGCGTGAGTTCGGATCTCGCGTTTAGGGACATTTAGAGAGCTAGACATAGTGTTGACTACACTATCGTATACCGATGTCACTGAAACAGATGAACTCTACGTCATCTGCCCCATGTGTTTAACACACTGTACCTAATATATTTATCTATCGCTGCTTTATTAATTTATAACAATACTCACTCTACGGAATAAATGAGAACCATACGTATTGTAAAAAGTATTTTATATCACACTTTTAACTGTTAATTTCCCCAATACTCGTAGCACGTGTTAATATAAATCATTGTTCAAACAGACGGTAGTGATACTCGGCAACCAAAGAGCCTCCAAAAAATGCTTTGAAGACCCAGACAAGTTTATCCCAGAGAGATGGATGAGAGCAGACGATGGTCGTAAACAGGACAACACAAACAGCATGGCGGTTTTACCGTTTGGTCACGGACCGCGTAACTGCATTGGCAGACGTTTTGCTGTTCAGGAAATTTATCTGGCCACATCTAAAGTGAGGTTTTATTTTTTCTATATTTACCTAAAATGTAGTAAAACAGTCATTTTAAAGTGCTTGAAGCGTGAAAAAAAATATTTGTCTCTGTTCATTTCTGTACAGGTTCTCCAGAAGCTGAAGATAGAAGTAGAACCGGAATCCTGGAATACAGACTTTATCTACACGACATTCGTTGACACGGAGAAACCAATCAGATTTAAGTTTACAAAGATTGAGTAGGTTGGATTGTGCAAAAGCATAATTTACTTAAACCTTAAGGTTTTAGAAAATTATTGTTTTTGAAATTGAAAAAAAAGAAAATAGTTAGTCTTAGGCGCTTGTTGTTGCTAATTTTTAAACACAAATTGTATAGTATTTTGCCAAAGATTACATTTTGTATGATTCTATATTATCAATGTAATAAATTTACTCAATGTTGAATGTTTGAGTGTTAATTATCACCGTACATCTGTTTTTTAAATTAGAATAGATTGTGGTATTCTTTGCAAATGCAAATGCTAATTGTAAAAAAAATTTAAACAATTATGAATTTTATAAATGCATTGTAGTAAGTGTAACATATGCTTATGAGTGATGCATAGTATTATTATTGTGGGTTTTTTCTTCTATCGAGAGGATGAACAAATTCTTTCATTTTCCAACTTTATTTACAGTAATAAAATAGATCCATAAGAAATAATGATTAAAAAATCCATCGTAGGATAAAAATAATACAAGTACAATCCAGAAACATAGTGACATGGTGAAGGCTTACATTCTTCTATACATCTACGCTTAGTTCCCCTTACGCTTCCCCTTTTATACCCTTCATTCTCTCCCCTAACGCCAGTGAGCGAAATTTAAAAAAAAGCATGGAAAAACATTATTAGTCGCTCACACAGTCCTTCAGTTGGCCATGTACTCTACTTTCATATAAGTTCATGCTAAATACAATATAAATAAACTATTCCCTAGTGAAAAAAAAATCATGATAGACTAAACATTTGTAGTCACAAGTTTATTGTGCAGAACATGCAATAGTATGTGGTGATTATATCACTCACTTGATAATTTCTAGATCATAAAATTAAAAAAAATTAATGACAATATGTTTAGATCAATAAGTGTGTAGAAGATGTTGAGAAATTTTAATATACAGTGACACAAATTACAATCAGCTTATTCATACACAGAACCTTAACAAAATCGATAAAGATTAAAACCTGATAATTAAAATGTGTGTTTGAAAAAAAACTTTAAAATGCACAAGCACAATATGTAATAGTTAATACATAAATTTTGTTCAAATAGAAAAAAAACATTTCAATCACCCAGTGACTGTAGTTTAAACCACTCTACATCAGTAAGCCAAAATATACCAGTAAACATATTTGGTAGGACATATCTGCAACTTGATATCACAGAGTTTTAATACTCAAGCTTCAATTACACTCATAAATTAAAATAATTATATCATATTCATATCATCATATCATATTATCAACAATGCATTTTATTACCACGCTTGAGTAATTTTCTTGTTGTCTCCCCTAATTAACCCATTAAGTCACATCTAGGTCACGTCAATAACATTGCTGCCCTCAGTAGTCTCTGACCAATATACTGAGTTATCATTTAGACCCGACTAATAGTTATGTGATATAGCAAGTCCTCACATTTTATTTGATTATCTTAGACGTTGTTCAATAAAACGTATTGAACATGTTAACATAATATACTTTACATTCTGTTTGATTTAACCTTTGTGTAATTGATGACCTGTTTGCCATCTCTCCCTTAAATTGTGTGTGTAGCTTCTAACTTTGCTACTATAATAGTTCACTTTATTTCTTTTAACTAGTCTGACTTTATTTATATTGTTGCTAATAGTTTCATTTTCACAGTTTTCTTTCTTCTCTTTGGGTATCAGTATTATTTCTTTCTTCTCTTTGTGTATCTGGTTTATTTCTTTCTTCTCTTTGGGTATCTGGTTTATTTCTTTCTTCTCTAGTTCCTGATCTACGTCAGTAGTTTTCTTACTTTGGGTTCGTTCGCTTGGTTTATCAACCAACTTGATACAAATATTATGGCTTTGCTTTGGCCTCTCATAAATTTGTTTGATTAGATACTCTGTTCACCTTATAATAGTTCTTATCGGAATAAGATTCATTCCTTCTTCATTTTCACAGTTTTCTTTCTTCTCTTTGGGTATCAGTATTAATTCTTTCTTCTCTTTTTGTATCTGGTTTATTTATTTCTTCTCTAGTTTCTGATCTACGTCAGTAGTTTTCTTACTTTGTGTTCGTTCGCTTGGTTTATCAACCAACTTGATACAAATATTATGGCATTGCCTTGGCCTCTCATAAATTTGTTTGATTAGATATCATTCTAGCCCTTTCCTTGTCATCTGCTTCCTTTTTAGCAGCTTTCTCTTTTTTTTTCTTCAAACGCCCATATGTCTTCCTTCTTAATGCCTAGCTCTTTCAATAGTTCTAGACATTTTGCCAGAACTGACATATTGATCCGTTACAATACTTGTCACATAAAATATAAAGAAATAATAATTATTAGTTAACAAATAGTAGTGTAAACTTTATTTTCTACTTTTTAGTGCATCTTACATGTTTGAATATTTTTTTGTTTTTTTTTTTTGTTTGTCTGATTGGCTACTGGAGAGAATCTGCACTATGTAAAGAGCTGTAAAATAGTATGTAGGTAGAGAACAATTTTTGTTTTCAGACAGACTGTTAATCACAAACTTATTTAAAGACGTTAATTAATTTATTGATTTGTTCATTGGTAGATTAACCACTTTAATTATAAAAGTTTCAAACAGTAGCTTTACTTTGACTGAATAGTGTTGTCACATGATTGGTTTGCTTTTTACATCAACAATGGCGGCTTCTATCGAAGAAGATTTTGTTCCCACTCCAATGTTTAACGCGTTCTAAAGCTAATTTTCTGTCGGCTATAAATTTAGCAATACGTCCGTTAACTGTATTTATTACGATCCAACACTTATATCAATTTTCAACTCTCTTTTTCATTTAGTTTTACAGTAAATTTTTCTAGATCTACAGATCAGCTGTGGAAGGAAGAAAAAGTTTTCTAGATCTAGATCTAGGTCACTAGACGTAAATTCTAGATCTAGACTTAATGTAAATTTTACCTCTAGAATCTATTTTAGACCTTCATTATTTTATATAAATCTTTCTTTGTTTAGCTATGCAATTGGCTAATTTAAGATAAAATTTAATTTGAAAGTTACTAGACTTAGATCTAGATCTAGATAGGGACTATGCGCGTAAATCAAGTTGCATAATTAGACTCATAGTATTAACATATAGCACAAAAACACATTAGTGACGTCACGAGTCTAGACTGCCAAGTTGTTAGTGTAACAGGCTTTAATGCGGTTGGCACGGGTTCTAGACATATCACGTCAATGATAATTTTTTTTTAGATGTGAATGATAAGTTTGACTATCTGAACTTGGTGGGATACAAGGCAGGTGAAGTGGAGTTCATCTGTTTCTTTGTCCTAAGCATATGAAGGGATAGTGTGGTCAGAGACATGCTCGGACGGAATAGTTTTTTTAAACGATAAAAACATGTTGTCTGAGACTTGGCGGGACACTGGGCAGGTGAAGTAGATTTGAGTAGGTCACCTGTGACGTCAGTATATGAAGGGATAGTGTGGTCAGACCTATGCTCAGCCGAAATCGGTGTTTTTAAAAGATAAAAAAAAATGTCTTTTTGAATGTGGGGTCTGGTTTTTTTGTGACGATAAGTGACAGACGTGATGTTTTTTATGGATGACCCCCGAAACCCACAGTTATCCAAGGGATTACGGGTAAGTCTAGTTATTACATAAAAGCTTGTTATTAAAAAGTTTTTGTGAAAAACAATTTTTAATATTAGTAGCAATAATTTTTACAAGCGAAAGTATATTTGTAAGAAAAGAAAGATTATTAGTTCTACCGAATGTTATATAGGTTTGTAAAGTTATTTTATATTTCTTTTATTAAATGTGTTTTTAATATTTCATATTATGAATGTTCAATTAATGTCATACATAATTCAGTTGATGTGATTTAATGTGTCAAAATACGAACTATATCTGCACAATTTTAATTGCACATTTTCTGGTCAGTTTTGTTAGCACTGTGTTAATGATAATATTAATATTAATACTATATTACAATTAATAATATATTATAATTAATAATATATTATATTAAGTTTTAATTAATAAAGCTAAATACAGTTTTAATTATTTTTTTTAATGAAACAAAATATTTGTTAACAGTGCCTCCTTTTAAAAAAGGAGAATCAATTTGTTTTTGTTGATTTTCTATCAGCCTACCAGAATACATCATATTGGAAAGAATGCAACTTTTCATAGCATTATATTTAGTTAATATTATGTACTGGGTATGTATCCGAATTGTTTGAGGATAAGATTTTAAGTGTCTCTAATATGCAAACTATAAATTAAAAAGCTTTGGTATAAATCTATTCAACCAGTTTACCGCTCTATATAAATTCATCTATCATCTTTTTTCGTGCACAAGACACATGGATCCAAAAATATAAACTGGAGGAATTTCCTTTCACTTGTTTTAGAAGCTTTGCTGTTTGCTGTTTTGGTCTCTTAATAAGGTACAATTTTTTTACAAAAAATTAGGTTGTTGACCTTATGCTGAACTCCCAACCTCCATTATTTGGTGTGTTTTTTTCCTCTTCAAAATATATTCAAATATCTAAGACCCTTGCATTTATGTACTCTTGTTGTCACCAATACCTCAACAGCTGGCTTTTATCCAGCATCCAAAATGTGCCACTAACCTCCCTTGGCGAACATGGCGTCCTGCCAATGTTTTTGTTACAGTTCGGCATAGGCGGATACTATAATGTAACACAAAACCGACAAAGCAAAGTCCGACAGTGGCGTTGCGACACATTCTAGTACCCGGGGCGAACTATCAATTTTTCAAGTTTCGTTTTCTAAGATTTTCGAAGTGAAAGGTTCATGAGGCAGGTGGAGTGGAGTTTACATGTTGCTGTGCTCTCAGTAAGTGGTATGTGAAGGGATAGTGTGGTCATCAAAAGAACCACCTTTTCTTTACAGAACGGTTAAAAGAAAAAAAAAAAATGAACCACATTTCAGACGCGCCGCTGCGTGTTGAATGTTAAGATTCGTCCGTCATGTGGTCAACCCTAATTTGTTACAGGTGCTAGCAGAGTACGGCTGTAAAATGGGTCAGTGTTTGACAGACTCGCTTAACATCTATATGGTAAGAAATTTGATCAGCTAGTTGTTTTTGTAAATAGACGCTTGTTATATAAACCATGATAGATCAGAGTG